TTGTCAAAACCATATCCTAGATATGATAATAACCAAGGTGAGAGTTAAAACTGGTTTAGTAATGTGAATGTCAACATATATAACATCTGACTCAGTTTGTTCCAGCTCATCATTAAAGCTGTTTGATTTGATACCTTGTTTTAGTACCTGGGATATCTTTAGTTAATGAGCAGCCCTGGCAGCAGTTTGGGAGGCTTAAGAGGCTAAAAAGACAGTGTCAGGAGAAGTCATGTATTATAAGATAAGGGAAAACACACAGGAGAAACAAAGCTTAAACTGCGTTCTCCTCAATTAACACTCATCTATCATATTGACCTCTATAAGCCAGTGTGGTCAGGCCCCTTGAGTCATGTAGATTCCTGTTATTTATCATCAACAAGGAAAGCCGTACACGTAAACTGTCTTTTGCATACAGTCACAACAAGTGTAAGTCAGAGCAAAAACACAAACTCTTGGTTGACTTGTTTTGTGTCTTTGGGAGTCAACAAACCAACATAGCTTCAAGGTGTCCAGTGTAAGAAACGGGCCGCATGGCCTTACAGAAGCGTACTACTGCCACGTTGCATTGTGCAAATATTAATCAGTATCATGTGACACAAAATGTATACTGTGATAAATTATTGTTATATCAATGAGAGTTATCACATTATAATATGAAAAGTTTTATGATTTAATCAAAATTTATCACATCATAAATTGAAACTGATCCATTTCTCCTTCTCTGGCATGGTAGGAATATGTTTTTATTCTGACTCTTTTTTTACTCTCATTTTTAAAATGCATCAGCAGCATTGATTTCTTTTCTAGAATCAGTCCCAGAGAGAATAATCTAAATTGTATAGCACAGTTAGTTATTGGTAGAGATGGAGAAGGAATAGCTTGATATTACTTGGCAAGAAATAAGCATTCTATTGTGCCCAGCTGTTTATGAACAGATATTATAATATAAATGTATATTTATACGCACTGGCTTGGTGGAATACAGATACAAATTGGATCCTGTGATTTGACATTTGATATGTAATTTTAGCACAAGTTTAACCTACATTGCCAAACGTCCGCATGTGACCGCACCAGCTTGAAGGGTAACAAGACAGCATGTATATAACATACTGGTGCAGGATATGTTTGAGTGGCAGGAATATATTTATCTCCACGTGAACCTGCTTATCAGTGTCAGATAACATGGCTGAGCTGGTGACAGTCGTCCTGGAGGAGGTAACGGATTTCCATGAAAACCTGGTGGAAGGATGGGACATTGACCAAAAAAGAACAAATTAAATATTGGAGTAGATCCAAGATTATTTTTGTCACATCCTTAAACTTTGCAAGATGGGGAGTGTTTGGCAATTTTATCAATTCTGAGGGAATAATGCATGAATCTTAATGAAAAATAGAAACTTATTGCAGCTTACTTGATTTCAAGGGGACTATTGGACTTTGGCAGACTGTACTGAGTGCAATCCTAGAGTTTTTTTATCTTTTCAGAATTAAACAGATGAATGAAACTTGTCATTGTCTTAATTTTTATAGCCAAAAATTTACTGCAAATAGTAATTTTTTCCATTTCTGATTAAGCTGCAGATTATACTTTATATTCTTAGTTGATTCATATTCTCTATAAAATATCACAAAATGCCTTTTTTTAATTCTCTCTCTCTCTCTCTCTCTCTCTCTATATATATATATATATATATATATATATATATATATACTGTTGGAAAATGCACTTCCCTGATGCCATTCTTGTTGAAATATATTTTCGATCATAAATTGCACACAGCCAGTGTTTTGGTTGACAGTGAGAGTCCTGCCACATCCACAGCTGTTGTGATTGAAGTCCACACGACCTTTCAGGTGCTTTACACATCAGACACCAGAGCTGTGGGACTCCTCTGCTGGAGGTGCTGATGCTCCGTGATGCAATGTTGAAATCAATAGAGGCTGCAGCACAAGTTAATGTTAAAGGCAGTGAGGTCGCTCAATACAGGGTTAGAGTTAGTTTCTATTTCCTGTGTAGTGACTGAGATCAATTCCACCTTCAGACTGACACTGAGCTGCAGCTGAGCAGAGAGCATGTTATCTCAGATATCTGTGAGGACACAAAACACATAAGATTCAGCTCATGTGATGAAGCTTATCCATATGTTCAATGTGAGACAGAGAAAGGCTGTGGTTGCACACAAACCCTGTTGGTAAACAGTCTGATTGGCCGTGTCCCTTCCCTTCACTTCCATCTGGGCACATAAATGAAAAGGAGAATAATCGTTTGAGCGTTTAAATCTGCAGTAAAATCAACCGAATAAAATGAAATGAGCTGATGAATTTAATTATGCATCATCAGCCCCTGCCACCTGTTGGTGTTTCTATTCTTATCCTGAGATGTTGCTTCAGACGCCGGCCCAAATGTTCTATTTGTCTCCCTCTAAAGGTCCTTTCTGATCATGATCTCATTCATCACCATATCAATACACTGTAAACAAATACACCGTGACAGGCAGTGTCATTATTTCTGCTGGATTTTGCAGGTGCCAGATGAAGAGCTGTCATCATCAACTTTATTATATACATTTCTTTGCAGGATTATTTTGCACGTAACCAGGGATTTCCTGAGCTTCTATTATTGTGGTTCTTTCAACTGTATCTTCACAGAACTAACGTGTCTACATCTCCTCTCCTGTGTGTCTCCATGTTCCTGCTTCTTTCACAACAACATCACACAGACAGATTAAAGCTGCCAATACAAAAGATGGCCTCCGCTGTTCATGAACACAGGAACCACTTAAGATCCAGACTTTCCTCTCGGCAGCCACTCTCATCTCAAGGAGATCCTGTGTTCAACATCCAACTGTGAATGTGTTGTTGTGACGGTCTGCACTGTCTCCAGCTTTTATCACGACAGTCACTGTGGGCCAGGTCTCTGCCTCTGTGTGGGCTGCTCATGTCTCAAAATGATCGGAAGTCACAGCAGATACCTTGTATTGTTAAGACAAGTAGAAAATCCCTAACGATCACATATATCATACGTGTTAATCAATGCTAAGTTTGCTATCTGCAGTATTGATCAAGTTTTGTAAACAACTTAATCACAAGGAAACTTCAATGCTGTTGTTCTCGTCTCAAAGCAATCCAAACCAATGTCTTTGTATTTTTGTTGTTGTTGATGTGGTTTTAGTGATAACTACAAGTATTGTACAAAAAAAGTCCTGTGATTGATTTACCCAATATCTTGTCCAGTGCCACTGGGGTTAGCTCCAGGCTCCCAGTGCAGCTGAAGGATGGATGGTGGAGGAATGGAAGGATGCTAGAGACAATAATAATAATCTAGTAAGTGGAGACAACATTGCAAAACCTTCAATTGTCTTTATTAACTTGACTTTAATTAGGACGACACCCTTGCAAAGTTTTGCTGTGAGTTCATGAGCAGGAACCCCCCCACCCCACCCCTTGAACCATGAGCAGAAAATACACTTAGGCAACCTTGTAGCCACAAGGGGGCGCAATGACTTTACTTTTAAACTTCAGTGCAACCCACTAAACTTCTCAGTGTGGCATGATGTTGATTTGTGAGGGTCGGTGATTTTCAACTGAATTTGACAGGGGCTCGATACTTCCTCTGTCCCAGTGCTGCAGTGGATGATTTGTGTCTCTCTCTGTGTTGACCTGAGTGTCCAGGAGGACGAGTCATTTCAACCAGACCCTGTCGTCATTATCTCCTTGACACAAGTGCACTAATGAGGCCTTTTCCTCTAATTGGACCATGACATGACTGCAAAATACCACAGACCTGATATGGTCCATCAACGCCTGCAGCAATCTATATAGATAGAATGATTATGGAATGCCATTTACGAAATTATTATTTATGCATTCATAGGAAGGTTGTATGGAAGCATATTGCATTCAAATTAAGGTTTAACCTTAAATCTTCTCTGTTTTTCTGAATTAACACTTTAATTATCATTTAATTAAAGTAAGTTAACTAAACTATAATAATGATAAATAAACTATGATATGATATAATAAACTTTATCTATAGAGCAGTTTTCAAAATCTACATTACAAAGTGTTTTACAATGGTAGGAAAATAAAACAAATGACAGATAATAGTGTTTGTATTGAGCCCTGGATACTCGACAGGCTAATATATAGAAGTAATACTTTCATATTTGATTTAGATTCATAAAGCGAGTTGAGGAAAATTAAATACATTTTCAAAAAATCGCTTAATATTTATCTCAATTTTCCTAATACAGAATAAAGCAGTGCAGTTGCATTCAAGGACAAACTGTTATTGAACAAGTTGTCACTGTGCTGTAAGGTCACTGTACTGAGGGATCTCTGCAGAAAAACAAGCAGGTTACTTCAGTGCATGTAACCTCACTGACTATATACCACCATGGAAAATATTCAGTAACAGAAACCTCAGATATAGTAAAACCCACATTTGTGGCTCATTACAAACGATGTCCTTCACAGTGCTGAAAAAATAGAGACATTTATTCATGGACTGGAATCAGGAAATGTTATTACCCAGTTAGACAAATCAGTTTTGAATATGTAATAATTACATTTTGCTGAAATATTACTTTTATACAAATACATTTTGCACAAGATGTAGTTGAGTAATTGTGGTGATATAGTGGGGAATTGCCAATTTAACTTAAGAAAATCGTTTTTCCACTGGTTTCTCTCATGTATTAAAATATATATCACATTAAAATGAGGCTGCTGTGGATTTAACGGCTCTCGACCACTGACTGTATCTAAGTTGTTTGACCAGGTCCTGATTCATCTATGATGATTTCAATGTGTCTCGTCCACCCACATGTGACTGACTAACAGGTCACACTAACAGTGTGTGAGGTCAGCCGTCTGTCTGGCACAGATGTGTGTTGACGTGCCTCCAGCTGTTTGCGGGGAATCATGATGTCTGGACCTATATGGTCTGGACGGGAGGATCCTCCCTGTATGGCCTGTGAGCTCACCACAACTTTTAATTAGACCGGATTCGCCAATTAAAGGGACGTCCAGCCGGTCGGTCTGTCCCAGGCTTTTAAAAGCAGCAGGAGTCTGAACTTCAGCAGCAGCAGCAGCAGCAGCAGCAGACAGAGGTAAGATACATGTTCTCTCTTAACTTTAAAATAAAGTCATATATATTATCTTTTTTCAAACATAAATCTGCCACTTACACAACTATCTGATGTATTTATTCTTTTTGTGTCTCACTTTACAGGTTGAAATGAAGATGTCTTCCACTTTGCTTTGTGCTGTTATTTTCTTGGCATGTGCCTTGACACTTAGTGCGGCTCAGAGTGAGTATAACTCGTGTCGCACTGGGAACATTTGACCAATAGTGTGTTTTCTTGTGTTCTGAGGGTCACAAAGATTAAGCGAGATGTTTTTAATGAAGCTATTTCGTGGTGTTGTGTGTTTGCTGAGCTGTCATTCATTCACGTTTACACTGTAAATAATTACACAGCAGAGAGTCGAACCACTCTGGAGAATAATAGACACTCACAGAGACTTTGGTATTGTAGAAAAAAAAAATGAAAAGCATGTGTGTCATTTGATTTTCAATGGATTTTCTGCAGCGAGCTGTAAAGGACGATGTGGTGCTGAGTACTACAGGGGTTACATGTGCCAGTGTGATTACACCTGCCTGCTTTATGGAGAATGCTGCGAAGACTATGAATCTCAATGCACCACAAGTGAGTCTCTACTCTCCTGATATAATCAAAACTCTATTTTTAATCTGGCCAGAAATCCAACAGAATTTTGTACAACCGAAACAAGTTGTAGTTTGTCATATCAGTTTAATTGTGATTTTCATGTTTTACTAAGAGAGCAATGTGTCATAAACCTTAAATAAGTAATTAATATGATGAATATATTCAGCACTGTGTGGTTTTTTTGTACGTGTGTGTCGAGCCCTGCTTTGTTTGTGTGCGACAGAAAACTCATGTAAGGGTCGATGTGGAGAAACATTCAAGAGAGGCCGGCGGTGCACCTGCGACACTGACTGCTTCAAGTTCAACCAGTGTTGTCCAGATTACACAAGCCACTGTGATGCAGAGGGTGAGCGTTGTCCAGCTCATTCAGCATGCTCATCATGTTATTTTCTGCACGTTCACGTCCACACATCCCCTTCACTGTTTCATACTCTGTGGTATCACCATAATATATTCCGTCATTACTAAGTGCTCATCCATCTCTGGTGTCGTCTGTTGACATTTGGTGGTGGTGGTGCTTGTGTGAAAGCATGGCTGCATGTTAAAATCAGCCCTCACCTTTCTCACCTGCACTATGAGATCAGTACACGTGCATGGACTAGCGTGCAATGATATCTGCACCGATGCATTGGTTTCCATTTGACAATATTTTCTGTCTTGGTAATTACTACAGAGGAAATCAGTGGAGCAGCCAGTGCAACAGCTCCAGTGAAGACTAGTTCATGTGATAGTGTAAACAATAAGAAACCCACAGGTATACATTTCTTGGTAACAGGTTAAATTCTTTGTACGTTTTTCAGTTTTTTAGGATCTTGGAGGAATATTTCTAGGGCTCGCTAATATTTATTATTCCTGAATATTCCCACAGAGCCGCCTCTGATGGGACCAGAGCAGCAGGCTTCTACATTCAGCGAGGGAAACAACGCAGGTGACTGTTGGAGATGTACTCAAAGGAAGCTGTATATAATTTCATTACCTTATTACCTATCACCTTTTGGATCTATGTTTGTTTGTAATTTAAATAACACAAAAATGATCATGAAACTTGGCAGAAGGATGCAGTCTGGGTCAGGGATCAGCCCATTAAGTTTTTAAAATTGCAGGATTTGGTATTTTTCATTATTTCCCCTGATTTCTCAGAGAATAATTCATGGATCACAATTAAATTTCGGTGTGGATCTGGATCCGGGGGCAGATCTAGGACATTTTTTTCACTTTCTTTAACATTTCGAGATGTCCATTTCACACAGAATGATCTTGACGGCGGAGGTACAGTATGTGATCTACTGCCTTTCAACTTCCCCATGTTACATAATCATCACTAACTGATTATTATGAGCTGAACCTGATTCGTTTAACAGGATTTACGACGTTTACCGTCGACCACTCTGTCGTTGTGGTTTGCTTTGAGGGGCCGAGTCCCACCAGGACTAGCCAAGAGAACCAGGCTCTCGGGCCAAGAGAAACACAAGGCAGCAGTGTTGTGATGAGTGCGTGGGAGGGTTACGGGCACAGGCTCAGTCACAAGAGAGGAAAGCACCAAACCAAGCCAAGAAATGATGACTGAGAAGTTTCTCAGTTTAATTCAAGAGCTGGCCTGGAATAGTCAAGAGGGTGGAGCTTTTTTCATTCTCGTCACCTTCATTCTCAGGACGAAGACATGTTGTGATGTTTCCATGCAGAGTCACAGCCTCGATGCAACTAACACAGGGGAAATAAAGATATACTGTAGGTGTTGAAATTGAAAATGTATTTGTTTTCTCACAGATGAAAATTCAGTTCCTCTGGTTGGTCCAACCTCATATCTAGCAGATGACTCCAGCGATGGTCGGCAGTGATGATAAATCTATCAAAGCTCTTTCTCCAGTTGTTTTTGTGACTGTGGGTTCACACACTGTTTCACTTCTCTTGAAGATACAAACAACCTGCTACCCCCAGATGATGAATTCACCAACACTGGACAAGAGGAGACAAGTCCAGTCCCTGAAGGCACCAGTGGTTATGGGTCGTCCACAGCTGATGACCTGGATCATGTCTCCACTGAACCCACCCTGCAGTCAGTCACAGTCATCACTCAGACAGAAATGACTCAGACAGACGATGGCCCCACCATTTATATGACCAGTGGAGAAGCCCCCACAGAGAGCACAGGTAGGGAGAGGAAACAAATCTCAATGTCTCTGAACTCTGCAGGAGGATGAACACCACTCGTTCAGAAGATGTTCTCTGATGTGCAGTTTTTAAGAGGGTGGTGTGAAGCACTGTCCAACACGTCGGCTGTCATTGATTTCTGATGATTTATTAACATATGTCTCAATACAACTGTGTGATTCTAATTCAAATCTAACATTTGATAATCATGCTCACCTCCAGGTTCCAGTGATCCAGGAACAACCCTCCCTCAGGCCACAACAGCAGCTGAGCAGGTCTCCAACCAGCCAACACCAACCTCTGCAGCCCAAACAGAGGTTTCTGCTACAGCCAGCAGCCCAGAGCCGGAGACAGCAGGGCAGGGAACCGTCCAACCAGAGGACGACGTTTCTCCTGCAGCACAGACGACACATCTGCCAGAAGCCTCTTCTGACAATGCAGAGGTCACAACGCTTCCCTTCACCACAGCAGCTTCAGCATCCACAGAACTCACACAGGACGACACAACCGTGGTTATGTCACAGTCCACCACTGTTCCCATCACCGTCCCTGCCTCATCAACCCTGGACTTGACAACCATCCCAGACGCAACCACTTCCTATCCTGATCCACAAAATACTGAGAGCAGCTCAGAGGACTCAACAACAGGCCCTCAAGATCCCTCCACCAGTGGTTCCCCAGAACTCGATGCCCCGACAACTCACATTCCCTCATCCACATCTGCAGCACAGGACGGTACCACAGATGAGGTAACACCACAAGTAACCACTGCAGATCCAGTGAGAGTAACACCGGACTCGACTGAGCAACCCCAACCATCGAAACCCACAGAGCAACCCCAACCATCCACACCCACAGAGCAACCCCAACCATCCA